ACTGTACATATATCGCAATAACTGTAGGCCTTCGGTAAATTTGGTTTCCGGTTTCTGAGAGAGGGTGGAACCCTCTACAAACCCCTATTATAAGTTTTTCCCAAAACCTGGAAGCATAAAGGAAAATCATCCCAAAGTTTTTTTTTTAAATCAGTCCCTGGTCCTCTTAAAGGAGAAAAGAAGAGCCTTCCTAATAATTTAAGCAAAAGTCACCTATGTACCAAATTCGAAGTAAATTTATTGTTGGATTTACATTAGTACAATTTTTTGAATTGGGCAAACCCGGATCCACTTTCCGGAAAGAAAGGTATATTCCAGTTAATCTAAGCAAAAAGCCACCAACACGTATTTATGTACAACATTTAAGAAAACCCAAGAATACATTCATTTTTTTTGAAATAGTCAGTCCCTGGTCCACTTTCCGAAGTGAAGAAGAGTCAGCATGTAAATCCAGTCAAAAAGGCACCTATGTACCAAATTGCATGTAATTCCAGCCATATATAGACTCTTTCCAAATAACTCAGTCCCTGGTTCACATCCAGGAGAAAAGTGGTTCGATCCATTATTAGTTTTTAGTTTATTTGAATAAGTTAGTCCCTGGTCCACTTTCTGAAGGTTTGTGTACTCTTCCTGTTAACCTAAGCAAAAAGACAACAATGTACCCAATTTCTAGTAAATCGATCCATAAATACGTTTTCTTTTTTATGAAGTCAGTCCCCTGTCTGCTTCCCGGAGAGAAGAAGAGTCTTCCTGCTAATCTAAGCAAAAATCCACATATTTAAGAAATCGCAAATAAATCCACACTTATATAAATTGTTTTTTTTTTTAAAGTCAGTCCCTGGTCCACTGCCCGGAGAGAAAAAGAGTCGTCCTGTAAATCTAGGCAATTCAGTCAATAAGATCCGCATTAACTTATAATTATAACTTGCAATTCAGTCAATAAGATCCGTTTTAATTTTTATTAATAAAATATAATTCAGTCAATAAGATCCGTTTTAGCTTATTTAAGTAAAATGTTATTCACTCAACAAGTTTCGTTTAAACTTATATTAATAAAATGCAATTCAGTCAATAAGATCCGTACTAACTTATATAAATAAAATGCTATTCAGTCAAAAATATCCGTTATAACTTATATAAATAATATGCAATTCAGTCAAAAGGATCCGTTTTAACTTAAAATAATAAAATGAAATTCTATCAATAAGATCCGTTTAACCTTATATTAAAAAAAAAGCAATTCAGTCAATAAGATCCGTTATAAATTATATTAATAAAATGAAAGTCAGTCAATAAGATCCGTCTTAGCTTACATTAACAAAATGCAATTCAGTCAATAAGATCCCTTATAACTTATATTAATAAAAAAAAAATCAATCAATATGATCCGTTTAATTATATTAATAAAATGCAATTGGGTCAATAAGATCCGTTATAACTTATATTAATAACATGCAATTGAGTCAATAAGATCCGTTTTAACTTACACGTCTATTATTAAAATGCCATCATGTCAATAAGATCCGTTATAGTTTATACTAGTAAAATGTTATTCACTCAACAAGTTTCGTTTAAACTTATATTAATAAAATGCAATTCAGTCAATAAGATCCGTTATAGCTTATGCTAGTAAAATGCAATTCACTCAACAAGTTTCTTTTAAACTTATATAAATAATATGCAATTCAGTCAACAATATCCGCTATAGCTTATATAAATAATATGCAATTCAGTCAAAAAGATCCGTTTTAACTTAAAATAATAAAATGAAATTCAATCAATAAGATCCGTTTTAACTTATATTAAAAAAAAACCAATTCAGTCCATAAGATCTGTTATAACTTATATTAATAAAATGAAAGTCAGTCAATAAGATCCGTTTTAACTTACATTAATAAAATGCATTTCAGCCAATAAGATCCGTTATAACTTATATTAACAATAAGCAATTAAGTCAATACGGAAATCTAGTAAATCGATCCATGAATACGTTTTCTTTTCTATGAAGTCAGTCCCCTGTCTGCTTCCCGGAGAGAAGAAGAGTCTTTCTGCTAATCTAAGCAAAAATCCATATATGTAAGAAATCGCAAGTAAATCCACACTTATATAAATTGTTTTTTTAAAAGTCAGTCCCTGGTCCACTGCCCGGAGAGAAAAAGAGTCGTCCTGAAAATCTAGGCAAAGAGACACCTATGTACCAAATTTCAAGTAATCCAACAACAAATAAACTTTTTTTAAACAGTTCAGTCCAGGGTACACTTTCCGGAAAGAAATGTATCTTCCTTATAACTTTAGCAAAAAATCACATATATATAAAATTTAAAGTAAATCCACCCATACATAATGTTTTTTGTAAATGTCTCTCCTTGGTCCACTTCCTGAAGATAAGAAGAGTCTCTTTATTAGTTTAAGCATAAAGTCACCTATGTACCAAATTGCAGGTAAATCCAACTATTAATAAACCTTTTTTAAATAACTCAGTCCCTGGTCCACTTTCCGAAAAAAAAAATATTTCCTCCTTTTAATTTAAGCAAAAAGCCACCTATGTACAACAATTTCAAGTAAATCCACCCATTTATAAATTTTTTTTAAAAAAGTCAACATCTGGTCTACTTCCCGGAGAAAAAACAGTCATCCTATAAATCTAGGCCAAACATACCATTGCACCGAATTGCAAGTAAATCCAACTATAAGTGAACTTTTTCTAAATATTTCTGTCCCTGGTCCACTCTCCGGAGAAAAGTGGGGTCTTCCTGCTAACCTAAGCAGAAAACTCTCTAATCACCAACTTCTCTGAGAGAAGAATGGTCTTCCTGCTTATTTAAGCAAAATCCATTTCCATGATGTTCCAAATTTGAAGTAATTCGATCCATAAATAAGTTTTGTTTAGAAGGGCAGTCCACTTTCTGAAGAGTAGTGAAGTCTTCCTGTTAACTTTAGGAAAAATACAACTATGTACCGAAATTCAAGTAAAGCGAACTAAACATATTTTTGAACAAGTCAGTCACAGGTCCGTTTCCCGAAAACCAAATGAGTCATCTTGTAAATCCTGTAAGCAAAAAGCCACCTTTGTACCAAATTTGAAGCCGTAAATGATTTTTTTTTTGAACATTTCAGTCCCGCGTCCACATTCCGGAAAGGAATGTATCTTCTAGTTAATCTAAACAAAAAGCCACCTGTGTGTTAAATTTGAAGTAAATCCAGCCCTAAATGAAGGTTTTTTGAAAAAGTGAGTCCCTGGTCAACATCATTTAGAGAAGTGTAGTCTTCCAGCTAATTTAAGCAAAAAGCCACTTCTGTACCAAATTTGGAGTAATTCGGTTCGTAAATAAGTTTTTTTTACTAATTCAGTCTGATTTCTGAAGGATAGTTTACTCTTCCAGTTAACCAAGTTCCAAGTATAGCCAAACCATATTTTTGAAAAAGTGGGTAACTGGTCAACTTCAACAATACATACATTTTTTTTAAAAAAAAAGTTAGTCCCTGTGTACCAAATTTCAAGCAAATCCAACCATAAATAAACTTTTTCCGGATCAACAGTCCGGAAAGGATACGCGATACAGAAACTGAATCCAAAGTAATCTCCAGGCCACGACCTCATTGTATCTAAAATGCTAATAGAGCTACCAAGAGTTGCACAAGCATTGCTCTCTGAACTCTTTAATGCCATTCTAAAATTAAATTACTTTCCAAACGCGTGGAAAAAGTCGCAGATATTAATGATAGCCAAACAAGGCAAAGACCACACACAGGCGGCGTCTTACAGACCAATAAGCCTACTTTCCAGTCTTTTCAAATTATTTGAAAAAATTCTGCTATCAAAAATATCTCCTTTTCTCCTACGTAACAATGTGATACCAGATCACCAATTCGACTTTCGTGAAATGCATAGTACTATTGAACAAGTGAACCAAATAACTAATGAAATCAGAAAGGCATTCGAGCTTAAGGAGTACTGTTGTACAACATTTCTTGACGTAGAAAAAGCATTCGACAAAGTCTAGCATAAAGGTTTACTGTACAAAATACATAAAGCTCTGCCTGTTCATTTTTATATGATACTTAAGTCATATCTGACTATGAGACAATTAACCATTAAACAATTTGAATTTATCAGTGAGGAGTATCCGGTAAAAGCGGGTGTTCCGCAGGGTAGCGTCCTCGGGCCTATTTTATATATCATATACACGGCAAACATCCCTTTCAACCGAAAAAAGCAGACATCTACCTTTGCGGATGACACAGCTATTTTATGCCGGTATCAATGCCCTAAAAGAGCACCAAAAACGATTACTGATCATTTACTCCTCATCGAAGAATGTCTAAAAAACTGGAGAAATCAAGGTAATGGACAAAAGTGTAAACACATCACATTTACTTTAAGACCTCAATCATGCCCTGCAATTCGCTTAAATGGTATAAACATTCCCCAAGTAAATGATGTTACATATCTCGGTATACACTTAGATAGACGTCTCACTTGGAAGAGACACATAGAGGCAAAAATACTACACATGAAATTAAAAGCAGCTAGTTTAAATTGGCTTTTAAATAAAAACTCCGGTCTAAAACTAGACTACAAAGTCCTTATTTACAACGCAGTATTAAAACCAATTTGGATGTATGGTATTCAACTGTGGGGTACGACCTGTGCAACTAATATCGATAAAATACAGAGGTTCCAGTCTAAAATTTTAAGAGCACTAACGGGCGCACCATGGTACGTTCGTAACGTTAACATTCATCAAGACCTTGGTATTCTACTGGTTAAGTCTGAAATTGAAAGAAGCAGGACAAAGTACTTCACAAAGCTAAGAAATCATCCAAATCCGCAAGCTAATGATTAATGCAACCCCTCGAGAAATTCCCGCCTGCAACGAAGAGATGTTCCCGCCTTCTAAGGAGAGCGCCGTAGTTTGAAAAGGGTTCAGAGTTAAATAACTCGAGCTATCATGTTTGTAATTTAGTTTTTAAGATTTGTACACTTACTGTTAGGCTTATATTATAGCAAATCCAGTAAATAAATGAATTCTGTATAAAGAAAACTGTTACTCTGGCCAGAATCCAGCCCTGCGTTTGCCTAAGTGCTGTTGATGTGTTCGATTTGTTCTGAACTCCACCTCTTGGAAGTGATGAAAGTATCTAGTCGCACCTCTGCGTATTCTGACAGCAATCATTCGGTGATTTACTTTTTTTCCTGTGATCTCGGTGGATGGTCTGTCATTTGTTCCTCTGATCGGCGTTCTGCTCTCATCACCACCCCTCGGTTCTGGTCCGTGCTCCTCCTCTCGGTACAAGTGTGGTTTTACTACTGTTTTTGACCTCCCCGCCTTTCTCCGTAATTCGCCGCAATGAGAATATCTGTAGACTCCTGCCTGCCCTTCATCTGCGCTTATGAAATGCTGGTACTCTCGGAAGAAATTGTGATAAATACGGATAAGCTTTTCTTCGGCCATGCAGTTCTCGTGGCGCATAAGCCCTTGTAACTCCAGGACATGATCCTAAAATGCTCACCTGGTCGCTGGACGCGTCGTCGGGGATCGAATAACGGTTAATGTTGTATCCGTCCGCTAACTCTTTCACTCTCTCGATAAATCCTAAGGGATCTTCACCGCCGTCGCAACCATTTCCGTACTTGGTCTCTAATCGAAGCATATCATAATGTCGCTGGTTCGTACATTTCCACTTGGCTGGGGCAAGCTCAGCCTTGCCAAGGGTTTCTTAAAATAACAACACGATATTTTATGCTACAACAAATTTTGTGTTATTGTTAAATAGTAATATGAGTATGTATATATATATTATCTCTATTTCTTTAATACAACAATTACTACTTCTCGTATGGGCTGTGGGGTTGAAAACCCTCTACTATCACTCTTCCAGTGAGGTGGAGGCCCTCAGTGGAATGAGGTGAAAAAACTCAGGGACTTTACGTTTGCCGGTGGAGTTGATTCAACGAAATGTTACTTAATACGCATGAGGTGGAATAGGCGTACGTATCTATATAATTATTAGGGGTGCACTTAAAATATTCTATTACTTATATAAGTATATATATGTATGTATGTACATGTTATCAAATTCAAATTACTTTTATATGCACATGCATTTATTTTCTTGTGTTGTAAGATTTTGGGGTCCTTAAAAATTTCAATTTCAGTTGTTCGATAAAATTAAGCACAGTCATAAAGTTAAAGGCTGACATCACCGCCGCCCAGTTGCGATGAACGGGGCAAGGACCGAAAAAAGTGATTCCTTGTGAAATTTTGGGCCTTGTATCATATACAAGATCGCAAATTTGGTGCTTGTGGTGGGAGAAGGACTCCGTCGACGATAACTGGCATTCACTCCGATGGATGAATGTCTCGCTAAAATCCGCGTCAAAAAAATTATTTAACATCATGCTAATTGGCGTCCACGCGGGAGAGAAGGACGACTTAAAACAAAGATGCCTTTTACGAGCGCACTTATGAGCGCTGCACCTGCCACGACATCACAATTGTGCTTGGGACCTCAACTCTAGGGTAAGAAACGAAGGTATTTTTGGTACGACTATCGATCGAACTACGAAACATCCCCCAATGCGTTGAGGTTGATCCTCCTCGCCGTGGCCCGAAATATGGTTGTTTGTAGTACTAGCACAAAAAAAGCATCAAGCTACTTGGGTGTCCCTTGATCGAAAAACACAAAACCAGATCAAAGATATTGTGATTGACGGAAGACATGTCTCCAGTGTTTTAGACGTGCGTAAGTTCCGAGGTTCTAACATCGAATCAGATCACTACCTTCTCGAAGCGAAGATTGGCACGTACTTCTGTGGATCGAAGAGCGCCAGTCAACAATCACAAGGAAGGTTAAACGTTGAAAAGCGGAAATCAGAAAGACTGCCGAGCAGTTTTCTACTCGAGTAGCATACCTGCTCTCTGAGAGCACTCACCAGCAACCCAGCATAAGGGAACTGTGGCATCTCAAGCTTCCTTCATATAAACGAAACTATTGGATTCCGAAAGATCGGAAAATTATATATATTTATATTATTAGTGTGTCTTCGGATCTGGTAAGTCAACCATTTACCTGATATTCACTATGTGCCAAATCTTGTAGAAGACGCGTGGAAAGAGGATCGAGACACATCATCTTTTCGTCGATTTTAAAGCCGTCTTCGACGCTATATCTGAGTTTGGTATCCCCACAAAGCTTATACGTCTGTGTAAGCTGACTTTAAGCGGCACTACAAGCTCCATCAAGATCCGGAAGGACCTCTGCAAGCCATTCGCTACCAAACGAGGTTTCAGATAAGAAGACTCTTTATAGTGTAGCACTTTGTACAGCTGCTGGCGTAGGCCGTTGATATCGACATTATTGGCCTCAACAATCGCGCTGTGACTTTCCCCAGACAAACAGTCACCGCATTTTCGACTCGGCTATCACGTCCCTGTTGAAAGTCGTTAAATGGAATTCGTAGATAATTTCGTCTATCTAGGTCCAGGATAAACACCAATAATAACGTAAGCCTAAATATCCAATGCAGAATCGATTTTGCCAATAGGGCCTTGTTTCTACAGAGTAGGCAATTGAAAAGTAAAGTCCTCTCTCAGCGAATGAAAACGCTCATCATACCGGTCCTATTATATGGTGCAACGGAGCTATACGATGATATTGGCATAGTTCAGCGAGTGAAGAGATATGGCTATTCTGGCTAGGTCGTGTCGTCCAAATAGATGAAAGAACTCCGGCTTTAAAAGTGTTCGATGCAATACCCACTTGCGGAAGCAAAAGAAGAGGAAGACCTCCACTCCGTTGGGAGGATAAGGTTGAGATTGATCTGGCATTTGCAACTGGCGCCAGATAGCGAAAAGGAGAGAAGAATGGTGCGTTAATATTTATTCGTCTATAATCGCGTAAGTGGCGCCAATAAAAAAGTAAAAAATTATACCCATAGACGGCGGTGAGTTCTGGGACAGCAGTGTAAAACATCGGCCAATCTTCTGCTTTCCCACAGAAATCCAGCAAGGCTCGCCTTTGCCTAGGTAAGTAGGACGAGTGTGTGGTTACAGAATCCATGTTGGCATTAATGGGCGTATTATAATTCACTGATAGATTGTCACTCTGATGCATATAAGAATTTGTTAACACGATCTGTGTGAACGTTAAAAAAAATGTTTGAAATTGGCAGCTATCCGTTAGAGAAGCTAACGACAATGAATTTGTACCTGTATTTGGCGGCAACTGTAAATCAGGCTGTGGTACAACTCGTGACATTTGAGGTAAAATTAACTGTTCCAGTAGAGGTAGAAGCAATTGAAGGGACACTGGTTGTGCCTGCAGTAATGGTGGCAGTGACAGTTTCTTAACGTCGGTATTCAAGGTGGCGGAAGTCGATGCTGGATCATTAACGTCCATTGTGTCACTATTTAATCGACGGCGAGGTGATATCAGTCAAATTGTAATCGGCAGTGGCAAAACGGCAAATAATATTCCAGTACCCAAAAACCGTTAAAATTTGTACTGCAAAATTGAGATGTTCCAGTTCCGAGAGGCCAAATATGGTACTGCGAAATAAAGATGTTACCGATCCAGTGGAGCGAATTTAATGGTAAATAAAGTACATGATTAACTTTAAATATGAACCTACCGCAGTGCATCTTCCACTTCTTTCGTTGATCGGCAACTAAACGTAACGTTTTGTGTAAGCACCTGTTGTATACACTTGTAGCCAAATTGTACTAACCGTACGAATTAGGCTGTCAGGAAAGTGAAATTCTGTACCACGATTTCCTAACATATGACCAAAAGAAGAGATTACAAACGATAGAGAGTGGAAACTTTTTCTCTGATAGTTGAAGTAAATATGTATTGTAGGCATACATATATTTATATATATATATGAGGTCGTTTAAGAGCACGTACATGTGCACATACGTATATATATATATACGCTCTTAAGCGATCTCAACCTTAGGAAACTTCCATATTGGGTATACCTAATTGAAACGTAAGTCCTTGAGTTTATAGTTAGTGGCCTCATTTTTTTTTCTATCAAAATAACGTTTATTTTCCTTCTGTATACATGCTTTGATTTCGCTAGCTTGTCGGCGTCTCGCTTCGTATTCTGCGTCTATTAACTCATGAAACTCAATCGAACCCGTTGTTACCATGTCTAACCCAGTCAAAATTTTAAAAGGTGAATACCTTGTGCTACCCGGAACAGTTGGGATAAGCAAATGATCTATGCCTTGTTTCTCACAGCATTCTTTGAAGAGATTGGGGCTCCCAGAAGTTTTTTGAAAATCATCCGCTATGACAAGATTATAGTTAGATGCCTTTTTCCTTTACTCCATTGGTCCTACAAGATCAATATGAAGAGTTTTTAATGGTCTATCTCCCCTGCCAATAGGATTTAGAAACTCTTCTTTCCTACCTGACTTGGAATCTGTCACAATGCACTCGACGCAAATTTTTACGACTTTCTTCAATTTGGTGCTCAACTGTGAAATGAAAGAAGTATTTTCAAGAGCTTCTTGGGTTTTATTTATTGAGAAGTGACCCTGCTTGTGCGCTATACGAATAATTTTGTGTTTCATCAATAATTGTACTACCAGTAGCTCCTTTACAGGATCCTTGGAAAGTAGTCCACGTCTTATATAAAAAAAGCGCGAACCCAACAAACTCGCTGTCGTTCTTGTCTAAGCCGACGAATTAACGAATAATCCAATATCATACTCAATGCATCCACATGACGTATTTTCGATCAGCGNCTCCGTAATTCGCCGCAATGAGAATATCTGTAGACTCCTGCCTGCCCTTCATCTGCGCTTATGAAATGCTGGTACTCTCGGAAGAAATTGTGATATTGTGGCGCATAAGCCCTTGTAACTCCAGGACATGATCCTAAAATGCTCACCTGGTTGCTGGACGCGTCGTCGGACAAATTAAATTTTCGAAAAAAAAAATTATGCCGAAGTGGAATAATAAAAAAAAAATCACAAACACTTTCACTTTTATAAACGTGGGTTATATACATGTATAATAAAAGTAAATGTAATAAATAATTTATATATAATTTGTAAGTAAATTAAAATTATTCAATTGTCAATTATTTAATATTTATATCGAAATGATATATTTCGTTTAAAAATAGCGGACAGAACAATTCCCTATTGGGTTTTTAAATGATTTTGTGTCTCGTTGTCATGATTTCAGCATAGACATGTAAATATGTATGCATGCATATTACAATTGTAAACAGATACAACAGCTGTTTGAATATACACGACTATATTTGTATATACGTATGTGTGTATATTTGTGTCAACAAATATTTTGACCTCAGCTGCTCGCGCAACGAAGAGAGCGCTAAAACAATAATATGTTGAAAAACAATATGAGCAGAATAAAGAGTACTTAGGTGCGAGTATGTGCCGAATGTTTAGGAGATAAACATACACACAAGATATGCTTCTCTTGTAATGTCCAGATCGAATATCGCACAAAGCGGAAATTGGAAAAATGCAGTGAGTAGATTATTTGCAGTAAAGTTAGCTCTTTAAAGCTGCGCTGTCTTAGCAAAGTGGTGAATATCTTCCACTTTATTAATTTTCTGCTATTTTTTCTTATGCTGTATTTTATGGGTCATTGAACCATGGAGAACAGCTGGCAATGCAAATAATTATAATATTGACCTATTAATGCAAGTAGGCTTTATAACTGCAATTAGATTTAGTATTTTACTTGTTATGTATCTATATACATAAGCGGAATGTATACAGTAGGAATGCTGTATTCGCGCTTATTTATATACAATAATTAGCGGTCAAGGAAATTGATCACTTACCCCTTCTTTTGCGGGAGTTTAAACTGCAAAAATATTATATATTTTTTATAAAATATTATGAGCCGTGAATTTCAACGGAATTTAGGAGCCGTAAAATTCTCTTGTTTTTAAAGGGCTTTTGCGGGAAGAAAGTTCCGCTGTTAGAGAAGTATATGAGGGTATACTAATTGCAGTATAAATATTTAAATGCTCTTTTTAAGGAAATTACCTACTTACTACTTAGGCTTCCAAACTGTGCTTACTTCCCTTTTTATATGTATGTATGTGTTATGTTGTGGTGTTTGTAGTGTTTCTGGTGATGTTGCCTCGCTGTGTTGTTTGTGGTGATTGTGGCAAGTTCCTGTGTCGTGGTGTCTTCCTTGTTGATGTCCTTTTTTGTGATGTGTTAATAATGTGTTGTTCACTTTTTTCACTTTTTGGATTTACGTATGTACTTATTTTTTTTTATAAAAATTTTTTTGTATGTAATTTTTTTGTATATGTAAGAGTGCACTTAACACTTGTTTATGTGGATATGTATTTACATATTTTTGTATGTTAATAGATTTTCCAAAACTTTTATTGTATGCGTATGTACATATGTATTTAAAGTAATTTTTTTTTTGTAAATATTTAAAAAAAATTTTTCTTTTTTTTTGTTTGCACCACCAGCTTTTTTTTGTTATTTATATTTTTTTTTCCAAAAATGGTTATATTGTATGTTTAAAATTCCTTTTTTTATTTGAATATATGTGTATATGTACTTTTGTTCTTTCACCATTTTTTATTAGTATGATAAAAATGCTATTTTTTTTTTACCACAGTTCTTACAACTTCACTTCATGATATTTATGTTTATTAAAATCTTTTGGTTTTCCGATCGTAGGGGGTACGTAGGTTTTTTTTTTTTTTTTTTGAAGCGGCTGTACACAATAGATTGGCTCTATTTTAGCTTCGAAGGACCAATGTTCAAGTCCGCAAGGACTTGAGGGGAAGTAAGGGGATGCCGGCTGTCGAGCGGGCCCACAGTTGAAATAAAACGCACCTTTTTTCAATTTAAAAATTATTGAATATATAAAATATAATGAAGCCACGGTTTAAAGCTGCCGTGCGCGAGCGAGGGTTGTTAGATTTAGGTAACGAAATTTGGCCACAAAGGATAGACGAATTGGCGCGTGATGGGCCACACGGAAATAGTGGGAAAAGACGGGGAATTCCACGCGCACGGCGGTTACATTTATTTATATGTATCGCTGTTTAAGCAGACGCTTAAACACCGTTGAATTATCCACAAAGGTCATTAAGACGATGCTGAAAGCTTTCTTGTAATTTAAGTTCAAGGAGCCTGAATTTCTAGGCCTTTTGATATGCATGTGTTTTCCATCCTTGGCTCCTACTCAGCTTAGAAACCCGTTTTTTGTAGAAGTTGAGGGCTACAGTTTGCCGTCCTTCGGCTTTTATTGTCAACTAAAGACATTATTATAATAAATATTTTTAACCTTTTGCACACTCGGGACCTTTTTCGCGCTTCACACCAGCAATTTGAAGCATTTTGTAGCGTATTTGGTGAATTTCTTACCTCTTGCTTGAAATGGTTACACATATAAAGTAACACATAAAACTTTCATATTTTAATATTAAATGTATCTTTACATTTTTTAGATGATAATTTCTGAAACGTTACTCTTATATATTCGTGATTCAGAGAGCGAAACTCGTAATTAGGCTGTCGTGGAAAAGTCGTATAAAAACCCGCGTCGAAGGAAGTAAACGAAAACAGCTGGTCCGGCGTATAGAGTTACCGCAGCAAACAAAGTGGTGAGCGAAAGTCACCTCACGAGAGTGACCTCCCGAGGGCGAATGGTTAATGTCATTATGCAAAATAATAAATTAATACATTTTGAATAAACACAAACTTTTCCAAGCAGTTGATGAAATGCTTTCACCCGCATATAGCTTTTAAAATCCAGCCGCTCTGTTCCTTTTAACTCTTTTTTATCAATTTCCATTTGGAAATCATCTCTTTCTTTAGATACCACTTTTTACTCCATATTTTTCTTCCAGCTGTCTTTCGGTTATTCTTTGATTTTTGTATTTCCTTGTCATATAAAATTTCATCCATCATTATCAATGCAACCATATGGCTAATTTTTTCTGCTTCTTGCGATATTCTTACAAAAAAATTAAAAAAAGTTTTAAAACGATTAAGCTGTACAGCAGGTTGAATTAAAATTTGCATTATATGTAGTTAAGGACTCTACATGCTGTACAGTTTGGTCTACGGCACGCTTTCGGCGCACTTAAGTAAAGTGCTTTTGTTTAGAACACGTATAATTCAATGCAGCTCTGCATATTATACTTCATAATAATGTTTTCGCCTCAGCCGTCAAAGTGATCGGAAGCTCTAAAACGACTATACGCATCGTGAGTAAAACAGTGAACTAAAGAAAAAGAAAGAAAGTGACTAAGAAAACAATTAAGCAAACAAACACAAGTGAGAGAATAGCGACTCACATATAATATTACAGCGCTCTTTAAGCAACCAAAATGAATAAATCATTTGACAATACAACAACATTAGTACCTCATACCCCCTACCCTGAGTGGGACCCAACTAAAACATTAAACCTTTCAACAAACGATCCAGTGTATCTTGTAATGACAAGGAAAAACACCACAGAAACACTTAAAAACACATTCCCTTTTCTACTAAAAAAAGCAATTGATGCTACATGTGGTGAAATGCCTAAGTGCAAAAAAATATTTAGTGGCCAAATATTAATATAAACAAAATCTGGTAAATAAGGCAACAAATTATATACCTTAATCGGACTGTCCAGCAACGTAAAAATTGACATTACCATCCATCCATCATTAAACTACTCCAAAGGTGTAATTTACTGCAACGATTTGCGATAAGGAAATTTTACAAGAGCTGGCACCCTAAAATGTACACGAAGTTAAAAAAATTTTCAAAAAAAGGACAATCAACTATTAGAAATTAGACCAATTATAATTAAATTTACAACAACCTTACTACTTACAAAAATTAATGTGGGATATTTCAAAGAACCAATCCGTCCCTACTTACCCCCCCAATACGCTGCAAAAATTGCTGGAAATACAACCACCTAGCTAAAGTCTGAAAATATACCAAAATATGCCTATGACAAAAAGTGCCCAATCTTCATAAAGGAGAAAGAAATTCAAGTCATCAAAACTTCATCAAACGTCGACAACAAAA